GTGGTACCCGATCCAATGATTATGCCAGAACGTGACAACCGATCCAAGTTAGTTATGCCGGAACGTGGTATCCGATCCATTCAACACACCATAATCACAATCACAAGTACATCCTCAAGATCATACATTTAAGTCATGATTTCATGGCAATCATCATTCATCTATCACATTAACAACAAGTGTGATCAATAATGCAACATTCATATACATACATGTATTATAATGAAGCAAGAACAAACATACATCACACAATCATAGAATCACAACCATCACCTACCTCGAAACAAGCTTGAAACCCTAAGAAACTTGATCCTTCCCTTTCTGGATTTGTTCTGCTTGTTCTTGGTCTACAAACAATCAATACAATACGGGAATCAATAAACAATCACTAATTACCTGAATTACTAACAATATTATGAACCGTAGATCAAACCCATGATCCCAAGTATTCAAATTAGGGTTGTCTTCACCATAAAATCTATATCAAAACCCTTTCCCATAGATAATTACCCATTCTATTACGTTCTACGGATTGAAAAACGGATTCGGGGAGTGGAAAGCTTACCTTTAGCCTCAAGAATGGTGGAAAACTGTTAGGAGTCTCCTCAGATTCGTTCCTTAGCTCTAAAAATTGAAAAGTGTAAAATAAGGTCGTTTAGGGGTTTATTTACGACTTTAAGTCGCGTTGAACCCGCCACAGTGACCCTCATCCCGCTGTAGTGGCCCCGCCAGAGAGGCTTGCATGAAACAATGAACTATTTTAATAATTTCAAAATCCCCATTTCACAACACACCTCTAACCCACGATGCTTAGAAAATACCCTTCACGCTAAGATCGATTCCAGGAGTTCTACTCACCCGAATTCAATTCCGTAAAGTTGTACGGATTCCTTAACAAGTTATATAACTACTCATGTAATCAATATCATAAATAATTGACCTGATTGTTACTAGATTTCCCTACACCTTAATGACTCTGATTTCGTCCAAATTTGGACTAGGTTGGAAAATTTCAAGTTACTACGAAAAAGTTTTCCGACCCAAAATTTTTTCTCATTGGCTTTTCTATAACGACGGAACCCGGTCGTTATAGGAAATATCAAAAGTTCTTTGGCATTTTCTTGACTGAATTATAGAAGAGAGAGTCTGGCATTTTTCATAAGATGAGGTGGAGGTTGCACAAAAATGGATATGGTGAGCTTTGTCCATTACTAAAGCTCAAATGTCGTCTTCTCTGAAAGATAAGAAGGGAAATAATGAAAACCGAAAATATAGATTTAGGATTGAAATAGGTTAAGTTTTAGTTCGGGGCTGAAGATTTATTTTTAGGAAAAATTACTTGGATGGGACCCGCCTTTTAAAAAATAATTACGAATTTTAGCGATACTTTTTATTTATTACCATTTTTAGCAATACATAACAATACTATGTTAAATCTGCAACATGTATGAAAAGTGAATTATGTATGCAATATATATGTATTATAAATGTTTCTTAAAATATATTATGTTTTTTTGGTAAGAATTTGACACATTGTATTATAAGTGTATTAAAATGTGTGATAAATGTATTATCCATCAATAAAATTTGTATTATATGTGAATAATAAATTATTCTTTGTAATATGTATTATAAATGTATTAAAAATGATCAAGTGAAAAAAAATGTTATTACTATAAATGGTAAATATTTTTTTATGGCAAAATTATCAAACAAGTCACAATCCTTAACATAATTATTAAAAATATCTGTACTTAAAATAATTATTAAAAATGTCAATATGTCAATGTTTTAGAAAATAAATTGAATCCTAATATAATTAATCTTCTTTCCTTTTATTTCTCAAATCATGCCCATATTAGACCATTATTTATTCCACTATCCGATAAAAAAAAAAACTCATTACCCACTTATGCCTCTTTTTAGGTTTTACCCAAAATCATTCCCTCTCTCTTTCTTCCCCTTTTCATCATTGTTATCTCCTTTCTTTGTTCAACAAAATCAACTCTTCGAATTTTCTATACTTTGTTTAAGAAATCTCACAATTAATTCAAAAGATTCTTCCCCCATTGATAAAGTAAATTCGTACTCAAAAAGTATTTTGTGAAGTTTCTTGTGATTTTGTTTTCATATTCACTAAGTATTTTGTATTTTGGATTTTCCGTCTTTTAAGCAATATTATATTGTTTGATTCTTTTGTGAGTTTGTTTTCATATTCACCAAGTATTTTGTGAGATTTTTCTCTTTTATCTATTACAGATTTTTCATCTTTTAAGTACTATTGTTCATTTTTTTTTGTATTTTTGTTTTCATATTTGATATTTAGTAGATTGTGGAAATTTACACTGGCATTCATACATCATTTATTGTTTGATTTTTTATACATGATAATTTTGAAATTTGCTTATAGGGTTACTTATGCACAAGTGAATACAGATTTTTGAATTAGGATTTGGTGAATGAAAAATCAGAAAAAAGAAAGATAGTAGACGAAGAAGAAGAAGAAATAGAGAGTCCGAGAAGAAGGTTGCAAAAATACAGAAGAAGAAGAAATAGAGAGTCCGAGAAGAAGGTTGCAAAAATTGTATTCATATCAGAATTGTATTCATATTAATTTTGTTGTCAATTATTTTTCTTTTACTCATCATTTGTATTTTTATTAAAAATATTGTATTTCTTTTTTAGTTTGTAGTCATTCCAAGATATGTATTTCTTAAGCATAGATGTATCCTTTTTTTTCCATAGTTAATTTGTATTTTTTTAGAATATTGTATTCTTCCTCAACAGATTGTATTATTTTCGCTATGTATGCTATTTTTTTCGAGAATCTTGTATCCTGTTCTTTCATAGTTAATTTGTGTTTTTTTTTGAAATATTGCATCCTTCCTCAATGATTGTATTATTTCCACCATGTATGCTATTTTTTTCGATACTCTTGTATCCTTTCATATATCATATTCATATGTAATGATTTTATTATATTGGGATACAATCAATAATATTTTTGTAATACAAACAAAAGAAAAAATATATATTTTGCAATCATGTAATACAATTTTAGTTTTCATTATGAAAGCAATATACTAATTTTAATTTGGATGGTAAAGTGAGCACATAAAATGTAAAAGTTATTGGCATAAAATTATGAAAAAAACATAATTAAAATTTTCTCTTTTCTGTTATTAAATAATTATATTCTTTTAAATCAAACAAATAAAAATACATAAATCAGATACATAACAAACTAAAATATTGACATTTTAAATAAATATTGAAAGTGTGGCTAAGGAGTCCTATTAAATGTCAAAATATTGACATTTTGAAAATTTTGCCTTTTTGTTATTATAGTATATTTATGTAAGTTTTATGGTCTCCTTTGGTGGGATTTAGGCTGATCAAATGTATTTTTGGGCTGCACTTATTTGGTCTTTTCCTTTAAAAAATAATAATTTTGGGCTTCTAACTTAATAACTAATACAATATATATATATATATATATATTATAAATTAAAGCATGTGTAGTAACATAAAATGAAAAGAAGAAAAAGAGAGAAAGAGAGATGCACAAAGTGGTAGTGGTAGTAGCTTTTCTCTATTATTGAATGTTTTTCTTTCACTTACTCTTTCCTTATTTTTTCTTGAGAAAAGACATAAAGACACCATCAAAGACACCTTAACTTTCAAAGTGTCCTATCACTCCACATAACTATTTAATATCTTTGTAAATGGGTCATTTTGACCCATTCCCTCGTCTAGGTTGTTACCACGCACATGAGGCGTGTCATGCAGTGTTTTCACTGCAATGGACCAGTTTAAAAGTGCCACGTGTCATTTTCTTTCTTTATTATTAATTATTTAATTAATTTATGTCATCTTCTCCAAATTTAAACCCAAAATAGCCGTTGGTAGCCCTAATTTTTCGATTTCATGGTTTTTTCCATAGCAAGATCAACGTTGGTGCTCTCTGTTTGACGACTTCATCATCTTCCCCAAGAAAATAAGATACCACTGTTGGCTAAGATCTAAGATCTGTTTCTGGAGCTTTGAAAAAATGTGCAGAAACTTCTAGATCAATGAAGAATGTGATGTTCTTGTTCAACAAATTCATAGTAAAAACACTCCCAAGCTTTGGATACTCCTGTCTAAGCATCACAACTGGCCCTTTAAGAAAACAAATTAACCCACCAACAATAGGCCATGCCTTAATCACTGGAGGCAAACACTTCTTAGATCTGGGCATAATTAGTGCAGATATGAGCTTTGCTACCAAAAGGGTTGCAACTAAAAGCAACCCCACATTCAAAATCTTGTTCTCACCTAACTCCATAACTGAATAAAAAATCCTGAATGAAGAAAAATTAATGGAAATTTCCTTTTCAGGAGAGAATGATGATAGTAATAGTGGAGGCACAGGCCAAACAGAGAAGAAAAGGAAAAGAGAAGACGACTTTTCTTTAAAGAATAGGGTCGGGTCGGGTTGAATCCCATCATAGGGAGTGAGAAACACGTGCGACTACATAGACGAGGGAATGGGTCAAAATGACCCATTTACAATGATATTAAATAGTTCTGTGGGGTGATAGGACACTTTGAAAGTTAAGATGTTTTTATGCAAATACGGGACAACTTTGATGGTGTCTTTATGTCTTTTCTCCTTTTTCTTTTCTTTTGTTACAAGAAGAGGGGTATATATAGTTGTATATACTTGGGCACCAAGTGTGATACATGGATATCTTCTTGCCATGTATGCACTTAGGGCACCAAGCAGTGGTGGAGGCAGGAATTTTATCAAAGAGGTTCAAAAAAAAAATTAAACACGCTAATATTATCCATAAATAAATGGGTCGGGTCATATATGAACGGATTGATTAACAAACGGGTTGACAAAAAAAAATCCTTAATTCAAATAATTTCTTACAATTACAACTTATCTTAAGAAACAAATTTAAAGTACATATCTATAAAATGATAATAAAGTAGCACAACTCATTCAAAAAGTTCTATAAGTTCTTCAATTCCTTTAGAATTCTCTTCGGCTCCTGAAAATGCAAATGGAGAGCAAGCACAAATTTAACATTAGAAAGACTAACAAAGAACACAAATCAAAGCGAAAATACTATTTCTTCACAAAAATTCTTTTTGGCATAAAATGATTTCATTACATTACAAAACTACACAACCTTGAAGGGAGGTTAAGAAACCAAACATGCGGATAAACCTATCAAAACAGAGTTTTACATTTGAAAATACAACTACATACATTTTTACAATTGTTTTCTACGAGGTTTCATATCTTGAAATGTCTTAATAATAACATCATTAGAAATCTTATCAAATACATCTTTTTATAAATAAGGTACCAAATAACCACTAAAAAAATCATCACTCATTTGACTCCGCAAGTCATTCTTGATAAACTTCATTGCCGAAAAAGCTCTTTCAACGGAGGCAATGGCAACTGGTAAAAGTAGAGCAAGTTTTAGAGGATAATTTGAATGTTTCTTTGTCTGAACTAATCTTTTGGAAAGATCACAAAGCCCATTTAGATCGGAGAACCTTTCATCAACAATGTAACTTGCAAGTTGATTCTCAAGAATACTCAAATTGCATTCATCAAAGTCATCTGGATATAATTCAACCATTCTCATTACTTTTCTTATGTCAAAACTTGAAAATGAGTTAATTGGATTCAAGCAAGCAATTCCATGGAGCAAATCGGTAGTCACCTCATCAAAACGATCATTAAGTTCTTGAAGTTGCCAATCAATGATATTGTAAAACACTTCAACACGATAATGATGTAAGATTGTATAGTTAGAAAGTTTCTGCCGTGATCTTAAAGAGATAACATATGTCTCCTCAAAGTGAGGTATCAAAACATCATGTTTGATACAAAATGTAGATACCTTGGCAATAAGAGAATCTCATTAATCATCTCTTAAGACTTGCAACCTTCTCTTTGCTACTTCAACAAGTAGCATGACATTTGCAATATCTTGCTCTTTTTTTTGTAAGCATTTATTAAGCTCATTTGTGATTGCTAAGACATCTCTCATCAAATGCAGCATAAACACAATCTCAAATGTTTGACAAGCTTCAAGATGTCCCATTGCCTTGGCTCTTTCATCCATACTCCTTGCATCAAGAGCAAGTGATTCAAGAACCTCAAAAATAGAGCCAAACATAACAATAAAATTGTTAAAGGATTTATAATGAGATCCCCAACGAGTATCACAAGTTCTTGAAAGACCAAGTTGTTGATTCAAGCCCCTATCGGTTGTAAGTTCACCCATATATAATGCCACTTGAATTGTTCATTTTTGAGAATCTCGTAAATTATCCATACGCTTAAAATAATATTCCAATACATTAAAAATATTTGAGATCAATACTACAAGTTTTTCCACTTCAACACACTTTTTAGAGACCCCAACAAGAGTTAGTTGAAGTTGATGAGCAAATCAATGGATTGAATGAGCTGATTTACTTTCTTGTCTAATCAACATTTTAAGGCCATTGATCTCACCTTGCATATTACTTGCCCCATCGTAACATTGTCCATGCACACTTGATGGACTCAAAGAATGTTGATCAAGTAAATTAAAAATTGTCCCCTTTAAATATGAAGCACTAGTATCTTCAACATGAACAATGTCAATAAGTCGCTCCATTACAAATTCCATTCTATCAATATATCAAAATACGATAGACATTTTCTCCTTGCGTGACACATCAAAAGATTCATCAACTAGTAAAGCAAAGTAGTCACCATTTAATTCCTCAAGAATAGCTTTAACGGTCTCTATCTTACATGCACTCACAATATCTTTTTGAATCATTGGAGAAGTCATTTGATCATTTAAAGGAGCATGTTTCAAAACATAATCACGAATTTTATCACTTTTTTTTGCATACCATGAGAGAATTTCAAGAAAGTTACCCCTACTAAGTGATGATTTAGATTCATCATGACCTCGAAGTGCAAATCCCTGACTTATGAGAAATCTTACTACATCAACCGACGCACTTAAGTGCATATAATATCCATTCTTTAGTTGATTAGATTGCCTCTCAAATGTAAATTGAATAGACCGCCGTTGTCGTAGTAAATCTTGACATTTCTTTTTTGACTGATTATGTATGCTATTTGGTAGACCAATATGTTTGTCAAGACCACCCTTTTTGTTCCAACTGTTAAATCCTATAGTTGAAAATGTCTCCCCTCCTCCTTGATTAGTGTTATGATCTTTAAAAAGATAGCAATACAAACAATCGACTGCATCTTTACTAACACTACACTCTAACCAATCATGATATATATCATCAAACTAATCATGATTAAAATGACGCATTTATCCAAAAATATCTGTTTGAGGAAACTCTTGCACCGCCAAATGAGGTTGACAAGGACCATTCAAAAGGTATGCTCTTCTAATAACATCACGGTGGTTTGAATGATAGTTCAATATTGATGTTCTTTCACCAGGATCAAACTTTAAAGAACTCAAATCAAATTCTTGAGAAGAATCTAATGACACTTCTAAATGATTAGTATTTTCTTTTGATTAGATTGACTATGACTTTGAGAGGCTAAAGTTGATTTTGGTACTTGTGTAAAATACTTCTTCACTGAATATTGAGACTGAATCGTAAAATAAAAATTTAGTCAGAACTTACAAAAATTAAATATTCAATAAGGACCAAAACAAAATTATAGACAATGAACAAAAGTTTGAATGTCATAAATAAAAGTTAATATCCACTGAACAAATGTTGAATGTCCATAATAAACATATAAAATCAACAAATAAGCCCAAACAAATAAAATTATAACTTTCATAATCAGTGAATAGAATTGAAATTTTCATATGAAAAATAAAAAAATTGTTAAGAGAAGTGAATATTCGAGTTCAATCAGCTAAATAAAATAGCACATCAACAAATACAAAAATCAAAGCATAGAATTCTGAAAATAAAAATAAATATAAAAAACAAAAAAGAAAACTTTTAGAGGTTGTCTTCACAAATGGAGCCTGAAGGAGAGAATGAAATTAATCCACGGAGGACCACCACTCCTCCACCAGCGACACCAAGCAGCAGCAGCATCATGCGGCAACAACGTCGGGACTGCAGCAGCGGCCAGCGAGCAACAACAAAACGTGAAGTTGAACGAGAAAGACTAGGAAAAATATAATATTGCAATCCATAGAAAAGAGGGATTTTTTTATTTGTTGACTTTTCAATTAGAGATTTAAAATATAATTTTTTTAATTAGTTATGACTTTAAAAACGGGGTCGTTTGGTCTATCTATATTTAATAAACAAACACTTAAAACTGAAGCCTAAAGCCTGCAAAATCGCTAAAAATTACAAAAAAAATAAATGTTGTTGCCTGGAATCGATATTGCGACCCAAAGCTCACTTATGCAAAAATCTTGAACCCCATCAACCGTTGGGCTACTCCTTTGATATATATTCAGGTGGTTCAATTTTATATATATACACGTACATAAAAAAATCGATCTTATATATATAATGTAATTTTTTTACCGAGGGTGTTCAGATGAACCCCTGGAAACACTGTACATCTTCCCCTGGCATCAAGTATATCATATGGATGGTTAGGTTACAACACTTTGTTTGTTGTGTGTATATTCATCTTATAGATAGTGTATAGTGTGTACATATATGTTACCACAAAATATATATATGTGGACATCCATTTTACAACACTCCCCCTTGGATGTCCATGTCTTAATAGATAGTATGCCTCGTTAAAACCTTACCAAGAAAAACTCAATGGAAATAATCTTAGTGAAGGTAAAAGAGTACACATATCTTATAATACACATTAAGAGCTGCCTCATTAAAAACCTTACCAGGAAAACCCAATGGGAGAAAACCTTGGTTAAGGAAAAAACAGTGCAACATGTATTATACTCCCCCTGATTAAGACATCACTTAACAATTCAGAGATGACACATTTCAATATTATATATCGACTTCTCAAAGGTTGAAGTTGATAAGAATATGAGTGTTGAACATCTGCTACATCCTTTTTTGAAGGTCATGAATAAAAAGAAGAACTTTGATGAAATATATTTTGCTCAGTCTTCTTTGATGTATCCTCCTCTTAGTTAAGCACACAAGGCATTGTCTTCATATAATGTTGTTGGAATATCTCTTTTCGAAGGAAGATCACATATTATCTGGGTATGTTTATTGATCTCAACCAAATATATTTTTGACAATCACTCAATTCGTGATCTTGTCGACTTAGACAAATTATTCGTTCGATTTGTTAGTAGCAACAATCAAGCACTAACAAACACTTTCAGTAAAATTGACTGTCTTGTGGAATGATTTGAAATGATAGTATTTCCAAATGAAAATATATAACTTTCATGAGTTCAAACTTCAGAATTTCCTGCAATTTCATGATCAATAAATCTTGACACAATTGATCAGAATAAATAATTTATATCGATATTTGATTCACTCAAATATCTCCACCGATAAGAGTGATGTTATATACTGGGGTACTATTTTAATAAGATCAAAATCGATCTTTATGTTATGCGATCTTACAACCATTGGGGTACTATTCAATGGAATCACCTTATAACCTTTTAAATCCTTCAAGGATTTTTAGATAATATTTACTGTCTAGCTAGACATGATAATCATTCATTATGCGTATTTAAGTTTTTCATATATTGTCAGACTGATAGAAACCTCGTTGCATCCACCTTAGGAGTATACATCTCTATACAATAATGTTAGAACTTTTGTGAAAAATCTTTATTTTTCAATGCACAACCCGTACTTTACATTTTACAATTTTACTTATTGCACAATAATTCATTTGTACCCCACTGACTATATATTGGTATATGGACAAGATAAGTCCAGAACATCAATTTACAAGTGAAATAAAATATACTTGAATTGTATTTTTTTTGCCAATCATTTATCTATCAATTCTTGACAGATTTAACATCAAGATCCTCATCACCATTTATAATTTTGAGCGCTACATTATATTCAAGATATCGACGACGATTATTTGATATCGATTCTGATGTGACATAACTTATCAAGCTCACTTTATTTTTCATCATTTCCAGGTACCTGAACCGTTGCCAAGGTTTTTATATAGTGTTATGTCATGGTGCTCTTTCTAAAGCACTTGCCTCATTATTATGACCATCGTGATCATTTGCTGCTTTTCTTCTTTAAGAAGCTTTATCTTTCGAATCAATTAATTTATCACGCTGCAGGCGTGCCATAAATTATGTCCTTCATGGACTTTTCATTGGAGCATTTATAACTGGATTATAACATAGGGTCAGCGAATGCGTCTGATAATTGACTTAAATTATATGTTCAACGAGGATCATATAATTCATTATGTATAACCTATTTTCTAGTTGCTTATTTCCCCCTAATGTTAGAGAATCTAACATTCACCCAACCTTATTTGGGGACTCATCTTTGTGCATTGCGTAACGGTGGAGCAATGGAATAATATATCGCACATTTAAATTTCTAGATGAGAATTATTTGGTTCCTGGCCCTGAATCAATTGTGATAGGGGAACCTTGTTGGCTTGATACGTACAAGTGTTTCTACACTTTTAAATAAAACATTTCATACCAAATTTCTTTTGGGATTTTGTTCTCATAACCAATGGTTTAGCTATAATTGGAGGCATATAATTTCTGCTTAAACCACTTGGATATATACCAGCATTATCAATATAGTTTTATAATTTGAAATGTGCTCTTGATTTATCAATTCGAGCAAACAACCTTTGCAAAAATCAAATTGCAAGTTTATAATGAAGCACATGTGACCATACATAGATGCATTTATATAATAGTAAATGGTCCACATGGCGGGTGAACAGGCCCATATTCACCTTTTAATACATCTCAAAATTTCAGGAGGTACAATCTCAACCTTAGCTGGTACAATACTAATTTTATCATGAGAACAAACAACACAAGAGAATTCTTGAAGAATTAAATATTTCTTCAATATATATAACCACATGAATTCTCATTTATTTTCGTATCATATTTGAACTGGAATGGTCATCAACCGGTCATGCCAACTGATATTTATTTCAAGAGAAAAGACATAAGTGACACCTGAAGTTGTCCTGAATTTTTAAAAAGACACCTTAACTATGTGGGCGTCCTATTACCCCCCTAAAAAATTCCGAACATATATTATTACATCATTTTTCGATCAATTCCAGATTTTAAATGGCAAGTGTTAATCACACACC